ATGAAATTGCCAATATTATCGTTTAGAATTTGCTGGGTATCTGCAATCTCATAATGCTCAACCAATATATCCTGCTGTTTATACAATGCTGTCATAATCTGTACTGTATTTTTTTTTGGCTGCACTGGAGTTTGAACTCAGGGCCTCACACTTGCTAAGCAGGTGCTCCTACTGCTTGAGCCACTCTGCCAGCCCTACTTTGCATTGGGTATTTTCGAGATAGGGTCTCAAGAACTATTTGCCAGAGTTCACTTCAAACTCCAATCCTCCTGATTGCTGCCTCCTGAGCAGCTAGGATTACAGGTGTGAGCCACAGTGCCCAGCTTATATGCTAGTTTTTGATTCTCTTTTTCTCTTAATAATGCATAGTAGCTGTTTTTCCATATCAACACCTATAGTCCTACATCACTTCTGAAATACCTGTATAGTAATTAATCCCTCTGTGATGGGTATTGAACCTGTTCCTTGTCTTTTGCTCTCTCATTAATATAGTTAGATAATTACAATGGCTGTTGTCTTCAAACATGAAAGCCCTGTTGCTTCCATCTCCAGTCTGGAATGTGCCCAACCAACAGAAATTTGTGTTTATGGATTGGGTGTCTGTATCTTTCCTCATTGTTAAAATTCTCAAACACCCACATATTTTTCAGGACAGTGAAAAATATAGGAAAGTCAACTAAAATATTAAAAAGTTTGGATATTGAAACAAGTTCATCACATCAAAAAGATTATTCACCACAACCAAGTAGGCTTCATCCCAGGGATGCAGGGGTGGTTCAACATACAAAAATCAATAAACATAATAAACCACATTAACAGAAGCAAAGACAAAAACCACTTGATCATCTCAATAGATGCAGAAAAAGCCTTTGATAAGATCCAACATCATTTCATGATAAAAGCGCTAAGAAAACTAGGAATAGAAGGAAAGTTCCTCAACATTATAAAAGCTATATATGACAAACCTACAGCCAGCATTATACTTAATGGAGAAAAACTAAAACCATTCCCTCTAAAATCAGGAACCAGACAAGGATGCCCACTATCTCCACTCCTATTCAACATAGTACTGGAATTCCTAGCCAGAGCAATTAGGCAAGAAGAAGGAATAAAAGGAATACAAATAGGTAAAGAAACTGTCAAAATATCCCTATTTGCAGACGACATGATCCTATACCTTAAAGACCCAAAAAACTCTACTCAGAAGCTTCTAGACATCATCAATAGCTATAGCAAGGTAGCAGGATATAAAATCAACATAGAAAAATCATTAGCATTTCTATACACTAACAATGAGCAAACGGAAAAAGAATGTATGAAAACAATTCCATTTACAATAGCCTCAAAAAAAATCAAATACCTAGGTGTAAACCTAACAAAAGATGTGAAAGACCTCTCTCTACAAGGAAAACGATACACTTCTGAAGAAAGAGATTGAGGAAGACTATAGAAAGTGGAGCGATCTCCCATGCTCATGGATTGGTAGAATCAACATAGTAAAAATGTCGATACTCCCCAAAGTAATCTACATGTTTAATGCAATTCCCATCAAAATTCCAATGACATTCATTAAAGAGATTGAAAAATCTACTGTGAAATTTATATGGAAACACAAGAGGCCACGAATAGCCAAGGCAATACTCAGTCAAAAGAACAATGCAGGAGGTATCACAATACCCGACTTCAAACTATATTACAAAGCAATAACAATAAAAACAGCATGGTACTGGCACAAAAACAGACATGAAGACCAGTGGAACAGAATAGAGGATCCAGATAAGAAGCCACACAACTATGAGCAACTTATCTTTGACAAAGGAGCTAAAAATATACGATGGAGAAATAGCAGCCTCTTCAACAAAAACTGCTGGGAAAACTGGTTAGCAGTCTGCAAAAAACTGAAACTAGATCCATGTATATCACCCTATACCAAGATTAACTCAAAATGGATCAAGGATCTTAATATCAGACCCCAAACTCTTAAGTTGATACAAGAAAGAGTAGGAAATACTCTGGAGTTAGTAGGTATAGGTAAGAACTTTCTCAATGAAACCCCAGCAGCACAGCAACTAAGAGATAGCATAGATAAATGGGACCTCATAAAACTAAAAAGCTTCTGTTCATCAAAAGAAATGGTCTCTAAACTGAAGAGAACACCCACAGAGTGGGAGAAAATATTTGCCAATTATACATCAGACAAAGGACTGATAACCAGAATATATAGGGAACTTAAAAAACTAAATTCTCCCAAAACTAATGAACCAATAAAGAAATGGGCATGTGAACTAAACAGAACTTTCTCAAAAGAAGAAATTCAAATGGCCAGAAAACACATGAAAAAATGCTCACCATCTCTAGCAATAAAGGAAATGCAAATTAAAACCACACTAAGATTCCACCTCACCCCTGTTAGAATAGCCATCATCAGCAACACCACCAACAACAGGTGTTGGCGAGGATGCGGGGAAAAAGGAACCCTCTTACACTGTTGGTGGGAATGTAGACTAGTACAACCACTCTGGAAAAAAATTTGGAGGCTACTTAAAAAGCTGGACATCGATCTACCATTTGATCCAGCAATACCACTCTTGGGGATATACCCAAAAGACTGTTACTCCAGAGGCACCTGCACATCCATGTTTATTGCGGCACTATTCACAATAGCCAAGTTATGGAAACAGCCAAGATGCCCCAGCACTGACGAATGGATTAAGAAAATGTGGTATCTATACACAATGGAATTTTATGCAGCCATGAAGAAGAACGAAATGTTATCATTCGCTGGTAAATGGATGGAATTGGAGAACATCATTCTGAGTGAGGTTAGCCTGGCTCAAAAGACCAAAAATCGTATGTTCTCCCTCATATGTGGACATTAGATCAAGGGCAAACACAACAAGGGGATTGGACTATGAGCACATGATAAAAGCGAGAGCACACAAGGGAGGGGTGAGGATAGGTAAGACACCTAAAAAACTAGCTAGCATTTGTTGCCCTTAACGCAGAGAAACTAAAGCAGATACCTTAAAGCAACTGAGGCCAATAGGAAAAGGGGAACAGGTACTAGAGAAAAGGTTAGATTAAAAAGAATTAACCTAGAAGGTAACACCCACGCACAGGAAATCAATGTGAGTCAATGCCCTGTATAGCTATCCTTATCTCAACCAGCAAAACCCCTTGTTCCTTCCTATTATTGCTTATACTCTCTCTACAACAAAATTAGAAATAAGGGCAAAATAGTTTCTGCTGGGTATTGAGGGGGGGAGCGGGAGGGGGTGGAGTGGGTGGTAAGGGAGGGGGTGGGGGCAGGGGGGAGAAATGAACCAAGCCTTGTATGCACATATGAATAATAAAAGAAAAATGAAAAAAAAAAAGCTGTGTGAAGCATTCCTTTATTCTTCTCATTGAGTTGCTGTGAGTTGTATCCTGAGGAGACTTGAACTGATCTAGTCTTGACAAAGTCCACTCAGGTAATGGCCCAACAGCTTGGGCAGTCTTCATTATCTACTTCAGTCATTTCCTGTTTCTCTGTCCTCTGGGATCTGTACCCCATCCAGGAGGCTCTGGATCCCTTACCAGAGGGGGAGACATCTGAAGGAAACACAAACCTTTCCATTGATTTACAGCATTATAATATATTTTTTTAAAATCTCTGTAGTCTGTAAAATCAAAGAGTAAGAAAGTGAAAAGAAGGAGGTAAGGAGAAAAAATTCCCATATTGTCTTTCAAATATTATCATGCCTCTCATGTTGGAATGTTGGATATAATATCTTCCAATGCCAGAATATTTAAAACATTATAAATGAACCATAAAGAAAGAAGAATTTTAATACTCACAGATTGTCCTCATCCTCTTGTGCAGAAAGACAAGCCTGACCTCCATCAGTGTCCTCAGCTTAAGTTAGGGGTAAGGGAGGAGGAGTAGAAAGACAGCCTGATTCACAGTGGGAAGCAAAGCACTTTCCTCAGGAACGATCAACATTGAGCAGGGAGCAGGGCCACCAAGGACTGCACTTGACAGAGTTTGGGAAAGTTCTGGGAAAGAAGGTGGGGGTTGGGAGCGCCTGTTGACCAATATAGTATGAGAAAAAGGGAGCGCGGGGAAGGCATAATGAAAGTAAGTCCCATTTAGCCATTTTCCAAATTGATTTTCAGTTACTTCCTAATGACCCTGACATGAGTCCAGAGAAGCCACTTTATCCAGGTCTATAAATATTTGATAAGTATGATGTATCCTTCTCTGACACCCAGGTCCATCTTCCTTGATGTTTCAGTACTGTGCTGACAGTGTTATAGCGGCCAAGCAGTAAAGTCGGTCCTCTGTATGTTTATCTCCTGTGGGAGTCTATAAACCTGTCCCTTGAAGGTAGAGATCATGTCTTAACCGTCCTTGTGCCTGGCCCCAAATCCAGCTTAAGTCACTTGGCTGGTGAAAACTATACAAAGTAGACGATCAAAACTTAAGTTTAAAATGGACTGGAGATGTGGCTCAAGTGGTAGAGCACCTACTTTGCAAGCGTGAAGCCCTGAGTTCAAACCCCAGTACCACTGGAGGGAAAAAGTGTAAAATGAATGCATGGTTGATAGACTAATGGAGTTGAACTTACAATTTCGTTAGCAAAGTCTCAGACGCACTTTCTTCCCCCATCAGCCGATGGACTCTGAGGGACCAGTTGGTCTTGGTCCTCACAATATCCCAAAGCACTTTCACCATGACAAGCATACAATAAGAGTTGAAATAATCTTTGTATTCCCCGGAATGAGTATTTCAGAGCATTAAGAATAGAAGAAAGCCAAGACCAAACCGAAGTGAGCTGCCCTGGTGAGGCAGCTGCACAGCAGCAGTGCGGTCGGGGACAATGCAGCACGACAATCCCTCCGCAGATACTGGGAACCGCGATGACCGACGGCGCCGGCCTGTCCTCCGCAGCGGCAGGGGGCGCTATGGTCTTGCGCGGCCATCGGAGTCGCGCGGCGCCGCTCTCTGCGCGGGCTGGAGAAGCGGCAGAAGGACCTGCGGCGGTCCCGCATCGGCTGCTTCTCTGGCCTTGTCTCTCTCGGCATCTTACTGTGCGCTCAGCCCGGCACCATGGGGAAACGGGACAATCGAGTGGTGAGTACCCGGAGAGGAGAACAACGGGGTGACCCGGAGCCGAGCGGCTGGAGAGCGGGAGTCCTCGCGCTTGCGGGCCGGGTTGGAGGGCCAGCGGCCGCGCTCGGACCTGGGGCGCGGACACTAGCTCCCTCCGCCGTCCGCGTTGCGCGTGCGCCGCGCACGCAGATGGCGCCCTCGGGTCCCTACACTGCGCGTCCCCCTTTCTGTCCCTCTCTTCACCGATTCTTGTGGCCCTGGCTCTGTCCCTTCCCTCCCGCTCCCCCGGCGCCACCAGGGCCGAGGGACGTGTCCCTTCTTGTGTGTAATTCCAAAGTCGGAGGCCACAGTGGGATGGAGGTAGCCTCTGCTCCTGGGCTTTAACAACAAAAGCGGGCTCGCGTTTGAGAACCAAGATCGCAGCCTTTAACTTCGAGTCTCCAGCGCCCAGGGCGGCCTTGCATCTAGCAGACCATGCAAAGGAATGGATTTGGCGTGAACGTGATAGTATTTGGAGTTCCGCAGGCTGGAATGTCAGTGCTGGTCCTTCGGAACCAGTTACTTCTCTGAACCTGTTTCTTTCTTTATTAAGGCAGGTCCTTGTCATTCACAATCTTGCAGAATATTTAGGACCACAAAAGGCAAAATGCCCAAGCGAGTGTGTGTGTGTGTATGCCTTCCATGAAATTAGTTAGTGCGTTACCTATCTTAGAAACATCCTTTTAATATGATGTAGGCTTCGTCATGGGAAATGTTCAGGAACCATTGTGGTATTGAACTTTGATTACAAGGATGAAGGATGTTCTTTCTTCCTGGCTGTAGATGAGGTCGACCTTATCTTGATGACGGTGGAGTTGAAATCGTGTTGTGCTAGGGCATGTCTAGGTTTGAGATGTTGGGATGGTTGCGCTCTTTTTGAGGTCTCCTAAAGCTTAGAACTCATCTGACCTTGGGTGCAGTTTCTTATACAATCCTCAGGTGTTTAATTTTACTGGGAAGAGAGTTTAGGTTTACACATTCCTTTTAAGGCATCTGAAAAACATCAAATTAGCTTGATTTGCTGGAGCATTTTGATACCAAGTCTGTACTTTTTTGGCATGCTTTCATGGTACAGTGTGTTCTGGTAACATTTTGTTTCCACTTCTTAGATTAGGAGAATGGAAATAACGAAATTAAGAGGTAGAAGACAGATCGTCTAATTCACTCTCTTGGTTGCTTAGAGGACAGGGTGGGAGCAAAATTTGTATCATCTGAGACCTAGTTCAACATCACAACTATAATTTTTAGGGGTTTTTAAATTTTATTTATTTTTGTGGAGCTGGGATTTAAACTCAGGGCTTGGAGCTTGCAAAGTAGGAGCTCTACTGTTTGAGCCACACCTCCAGTCCATTTTGCTCTGGTTATTTTGGTTGGGGATGGAGGTGGTCTCACAAACTATTTGCCCAGGCTGGCCTCAAGCCTTGATCCTCTGGATCTCAACTTCCTAAGTAGCTAGGATTACAGGCGTGAACCACTGCCTGGATTCTTGATTTTGTATTTTTTAATAGCACTTTCAGGTTCGTTCTCATCAAAATTGGTAGGAAAGTACAGAGCTAGCCTATATCCCTCCTCCCCATTATCAACATCCCCCACCAGAATGGTGCATTTGTTAGTGACACATCATTATCATCCCAAATCAGTAGTTTATATTAGGGCCCACTCTTGGTGCTGTGGGCTTGGACAAGTTTATAAAGACATGCAGCCACCATTATGACATCATACAGAATATTTCCACTGCTTAAAAATCTCTGCTCTGCCTAGTCACCCTACCCTCCAACCCACTACAACCACTGGTCTTTTTACTGATCAGTAGTTTTGCCATAACTTTAATTTTTGAATAACAAAATGAATGTTACAATATTGATTTTTTTTGTGTGTCAAGTTCTTTCTTTATACTCTCATGATTTTAGGTATGATAGGATTACTCTCCAGAAACCACTTGCATTTGATTGAACAGTTTTTTTTTTAAATAGAGTATTTTTAGAGCAGTTTTAGGTTCACAGCAAAATTAAGCCTAAAGCAGAGAGTTCCCACATACCTAGTCCCACACATAGACAGCCTCCTCCATTATCAACATCTGACACCAGAGTACTTTTGTTAGCAGTCAGTAAACCTACATTAGTAACACATCATGACCACCCACACTCTACAGTTTACATTAAGGTTCCTTTTTCATGTACATTGTTCAGCAGGTTGACCAACTGAACATTTTAATTCTCAACCTTTCTAAAGGGCTCTTTAAGTTCATGATGACCATACTTGGTGCCTATTGTTTTCTGGATGTTTCTTTCACATTTATTTCTGTTTATGTTATCTAAAATGCATGTGTCCTCTAGGTAAAAATAGGTACTTAAAACAACAAATTAAGTTCTTATGTTGTGTCTTTAGCAGTTGTACTACACTGCTCTTTTGTTACCTGCCCAATAGAGCCTGCCCCTCTTCCCCCCAAGCCCAATTTGCTATCCTGAGTTTTAAGAACAAATCATTTTCTGTTAACTAAACTCATGCAGCAGCTTGGAGTCACAGACCATTCTAGTCACGTATGAATATGAATGTTTGATTTACAAGGTCACAGTGTTTAAAATGCATAGTGAGATGTTAAAGAAATTGCACAATTTCCATATTTTAACTAATATTTAACCACCTCACCCCCTTAATGTTGAGAGTATTATGTTTCACACTGACTTATACTCAGAAGGATTTACCTTTGCAAAATAGTTTCTTTTTTGTTTGTTTAAAAAACTTTCTAACATTCATAGTTTTAAAAAAAAAAAAGAAGCAGCAGCATTGTTGGCTTACTTAAGAGCAGAGTATTAAGTGTTTTTGCGTGGAACCTAGCTAGAAGATGCACTTAATAAATACTGCTATTATAGTTGAAGTAAATAATAGATTTGGAGTGTACTTAAGCAGAATGAGATTATTACTTATGGTCAAAAGTTTAAAAGTAAGCCTTATTACTTCAACAGTAGCGCATATGATTGTGCCTGCATTTGCCTATAATTAGTACTCCTAGCACGTGAGTAATGCTTCACTATTATTTTCCTCTGAAGTAAAAATGAGATAGGTTGGTATGTACTTTGTAAAGTAGTTTGACAGCTAACGTTAATACACACTAAAATGTTAATGAATTTTTGAGATGTTTAAAAAAATTGAAGACTAATTCATGGTGAATATCGTTTATGATTTTTAAAATGAGAATGAAAAATTGTCATGGTACTACTACTTGTTAATTTTTATATAATCATGACTCAGCTTCTGAATTGGCATGGCAATATTATGGTTGAATTTTTCTCATTTTACTTACCTTGATCTTTAATAATGTTTGTATCTTTTTTTTCTGTTACAAAGGTAATGAGTTACTTAAAATGTTTTCTTTGGTATTTGACATGATGAAAGGAGGTGTCTCCTCACATTTTGGTACACGTGCATTCAGATTTTTAAAAATTTGTATGTGTTTATTAGAACAGCATCTCTAATTTTTTGGCGACTTGTTTTTGCCCTTGACTTGAGAAATCTTGGACATCTTTTTGGGTCACAAACTATAGATCTACCTCTTTTTTTAGTGACTGCATAGTATTTCATTTGGCAATATATTTTATATATTTAATGAATCCCAATTTCGTGATGGTTTAGGTGTTTTAAGGTTTGCTGTTGTAGTAATTTAGACATGAACATTTAACTAAAATCATGACATGGTATGGAAGAGACAAGGTCAGAGATACGACTTAATACGTTGCGAGATGGTGAACTTGCTTGTTATATTGTTTGCTCTGGTAAGGATGGGCAGTGCTGTGAGTTGGGCTAACAATTCCTGTTTCAGGCCCATTATTTGTTACGCTCCACCCCAACTGAAATCCTCAGCAAAGTCTGCTGAATGAAATATTTGGGGGGTAAGTTTATATAAAAAGTAAAGTATGCCTCTTTCTTTAGCATCACATTTGATATCCACATCTTGCCCTGGTTCTCTGAGCATCCCTGACATTAAGCACTTCTGGTGTTCCTTTCCCTGTGTTATGTCAAATTTGTTGTTCATTTCAGACTGTGTCTGTTGATGGAAGAGTTCTCAATACACTGTGTATAGTGGTTTTGTGTTTACTCTGCCAGAGAAGTCAATTTTATATAACTTACATATGTTATAAAGATTATAGATTTTGGTAAATAAAATACAACAAATATATTGTTACATTTTGCTTCTTTTGAAATGTTAGGTTATTAGGAGTAAGGCCTTAGAAATAACCTTGATAGTAGCCATCTTCAACCAAAATTCTTATTACTCGAAAAGTAGAAGAGTTGTATAAATGTTTGTTGACTTGAATTATATTTGGGAAAACTGAATATGAGGATCAAGAGGTTGAAGCTAAAGACCAGATTTTATGTCTGTAGCAAAGTGAATTTTAATAATTCATCAACTCTGCTAGATACCATCATTAATAAAGAAACCTTTTGCTTAACTTATCTCAGTGTTTCTGAACAAGTTGGAAATATGTGTGTTCTGCTATAGTAAGTGTTTAATTGTTTATGGATTTTTTATTGATCTAAAACACATAGTGTAAGATTTAGCATTTGAATCATTTTTAAGCTTCCAATTAGTGGCATCAAGTGGGTTTGCAGTGCTGTGCATTGTCACCACTGGACATGTCCAGAACCTCCACAATCCCAGAAAGAAGCAACAAACCTATCAAACAGTAACTCCCAAATTCCTCCTCCCCCAAGTCTCTGATAACCTGTATTCTGTTTTTGTACCTCTATGAATTTGCTTATTCTAGGTACCTTTTGCCTTTGTGTTATCCCACTTACCATAGCTATCTCCAAGGCTCATTCAGTTGCAATATGTATCAATCCTTTTTAAAGATGAGTGTGTGTGTCTCACATTTTGTTTATTCATCTGTAAATGAGACATTACCAAATAACTTTTCACAAGAGCTATACCATTTTTTATTCCCACCAGTAATGTACAAGAGTTTTCGAATTTCTTCACATTCTTGACAACCCTTATAAATTTCTGTTCCTTTAATAACTGCTGGGTGTGAGGTTGCACGTCTTTGTGGAGTTTTGTGTTTGTTGTGTGATATGGTACTAGGGAGGGACTAAACTCAAGGCCCTGCACACACAAATACACTACCACTTGAGCCACGCCCTCGGCCTTTTGTTTTTGAGATAGGATGTTGCTAACTTCCAAGTATAGCCTTGAATTCTCAATCCTCCTGCATCCATCTCTGAAGCGGGAGTAGCTGAGATTACATGTACCTCCTGCCTGGCCGCGTTTGTGCTTTTTATTTGAATTTCCCTGATGACTAGTTGAGTTTTTTTTCATGTGTCTATTGGCTAGTGACTGTATATCTTTGGAAAAATGTCTATCCATGTGCTCTGCTCAGTTGGTTTTGTTTGTGTGTGTGTGTGTGTGTGTGTGTGTGTATTTTACTGGGGTTTGAACTTTGGGCCTCAAAACTTGCTAGGTAGGTGTTCTGCCAGTCAAGCTATATCCCTAGTCCTTTTTTTCACTTCAGTTATTTTCAAATAAGGTCTCCGGTTTTTACCAAGGCCAGTCTGGACTGCAATCCTTGTAACTATGCCCCCTGCATAGCTGGGATGACGGACATGAACCCATTTTTATCAGGTGATATGAGGTCTTGATAACTTTTTTCCCAGGGCTGGCCTGAAACAGAGATCTTCTCATCTCTGCCTTCCAAGTAGCTGGGTGTGACCCACACACTCAGCTTCTTTTGTCCCTTTTTGAATTAGATTGGGGTTTTGTTAAATTTAAGGAACTCCTTCTATACTCCGTGTATTTATCTCTTAACCAGGTATATGATGGGAACATATTTTCTCCCATTCTGGCACTTGTTTTTTACATAATGTCCCTTAATGCACGTTTTTAGTTTATATGAAGTCCTATTTTTTGTTGTTGGCCTGTGTACAATTTAAGTTTTGATGTTAATTTACAAATAAAACTACCATCAGTATGGCACAGTATTTCCTAGAGTAAACAGTAAATTTGGACTTAGATCTTTTTTTAGCTTCTTTGGAATTAAGTTTCTTAATTTGCCAGCAAGCATACTATGATCATCCTCGCTGGGTCATTGTATAAAGTCATCAGGAGGTGAGAGCTATCATTTCATCAAATCTCACAGCACATCTTCTGTGAAATAATATTACTTACCTCAAATTTTGAAAGCTTGATAGATGATTAGTCTGGTTGTTCATGCTTAGTTGGAGATAATATGCATTCATAATAAAGGTAAGTTGTAATAAGTTATTATGATAAGTGAGCTTTTACATTTTTAATGGTTGTTTTAATGGGATTAATTTTGTTCTTTCCTTAAGGCCTACATGAATCCGATAGCAATGGCCAGATCACGGGGTCCAATCCAGTCTTCAGGGCCAACGATCCAAGATTATCTGAATCGACCTAGACCTACCTGGTATTTGTGAAATGATTTGCCTATTTATAAGCTTTTTATAACCTTTTTGCAGCACAGTTTTGAACTCAGGGCCTCATGCTTGCTAGGCAGGTCATCTACCACTTGAGCCATACTCCCAGACCCTTTTTGCTTTAGTTATTTTCTAGGTAGGGTCTCCTGTTTTTGCCCAGGATCATCCTCCTAGCTACAGCCTCCTAGGTAGCAGGGATTACAGATAGCACTATGCTGGTTTTAATGATTGAGATGGGATCTTACTTTTTTACCTTGGGCTGGTCTCAAACCGTGATCCTTCAGATCTCTACTTCTGTAGAGGTAGAGAGAGTAGGTAGGATTACAGGTGTGAACCACCATGCCTGCCTTGAGTGATTTTTTTTTTTTTTTCTTTTTGTGGTGCTAGAGGTTGAATTTAGGGCCTTACATTTGCTAGGCGTTCTACCACTTGGCCACTCCTTGAGGCCTTTTATCGTTGGTTATTTTTGAGATAAGATCTCACTTTATGTCCAGGCCAGCCTGGACTTTGATCCTCCCATTTCTGCTTCCCCACAAAGCTGGGATGACAGGTATGTACCACTGCATCCGGCCATTGGTTGAGGGGTTGCGTGTAGTTTTTGCCTGGACTGGCCTTGAATTGCAGTGCTTCCAATCTCCTCCCAAGTTGCTAGAATTACAGCATTGAGACACCTGTCCAGATGCCCAGTTTAGGTCAGTCTTTCTTTTCTTCGTGTGTGTGTGTGTGGTGGGGGTACTGGGGCTTGAACCCAGAGCCTTCCCCTTGAGCCACCCCACCAGCCCTATTTTTGTGAAGGGTTTTTCGAGATAGGATCTCGAACTATTTGCCCTGGCTAGCTTCAAACCTTAGATCTTACTGATCTCTGCCTCCTGAGTAGCTAGGAATACAAGTGTGAGCCACTGGTGCCCAGTCTCTAAGCAGGCCTTTCTAAGAATAAGTAGTCAGACTGTATCAGTTCATTAACTCTTTTTTGCAGGCATGTCAGGTACATTATAAAATGGGAGACAGCAATAGAATGTAGCAGTGTGGTCAGGTAGACCTGAGCTCACTGAAACTGTCACCTATGGCGAATGTCTTACCTTCTCCAAACTTCAGTGTCTTTATCTAAAGTAGGGGTTGTTGTGAGGATTAAATGAAAATGTATTGTATATAAGTGCTCAGATACTTGGTATGTTAACTCTTACAATTCAGGTTTAGAAAAGGAGTGGTTAGGAGTCTTTGCTCCCATTTGCTGCATGGGGAAGAGGAAAAGTTTCTTTCTCTCCCCTTGCCTTGACTGTACTTTATCCTGTTATACTAAAATAAATCCTTGCTAAAACTTAAAAAAGAAAAAAGAAAAGGAGCGGTTAGTGTTACCTGATAGGTTTTATTATTACTATTCGTATAGATGTGAGCAAAGAAGTTTGAAATATATCAATATTGAATAGGAACTGCCAAAAATACTAAAATCTTACTTGTGAAAATTTTTTGTCTCCTTTGTAAACATTCATCTATCTGATTTGAAGTGCTTGAAAATTTATTCGTACTTCTAATTTTTTTTTTTAAGGGAGGAAGTAAAAGAGCAACTAGAAAAGAAAAAAAAAGGCTCTAAGGCTTTGGCTGAATTTGAAGAAAAAATGAATGAGGTTTGTAAATATCTCTTAAAGAAATAGTATTCTTTTTTCTTAACATAAAAATGAAATCTTCTTATGTTTTACTTTTTAATTAATCAGGACTATAATTAGACTATAATCAGGACTATAATTAGAAGCCGAGATGGGTAAGAGGCCTAGGAGGATGGAGGAAAAGAAGTAGTGGGAAGTAGTGATTGTCTTTCTATATTAGGTCTGTTTAGAAATAGCTCCATAGTCTCTGATGGTGTTTATAACCTTTTTGTACAGAATTGGAAGAAAGAACTAGAAAAACACAGGGAGAAATTATTAAGTGGAAATGAGAGCTCATCCAAAAAAAGACAGGTAATGCCATTAGTTTATTGCTATTCTTAATCTCATAGTTGGATTTTCATATTAATGCTATGTATTACTATTAATAGATGCATTTGAAAACTCACGTCAACTTATTCAGACTTGTATTTGTTTCTATTTAGAGAAAGAAAAAAGAAAAGAAGAAATCTGGTAGGGTGAGCAAAAGTTTTCCATTTTTTAAAATAGTATAACTAAGAGCCTATAGAAAAAGTAAGAATAATTTATTTAACCTGTATTTTAAAGGTAGCAAGATGCTAACCTCCTGTAACCTTGTAACTTCTCTGTTGTTATTAACGATGACTGTTACCATACATGTTGTCACTTTATTGAGCTCTCTTGGGGGGTGTGTGTGACTTTTGCATTTTAATATTTAAATCTTATGAATATGGCATCTGTTTCTCAGACACTAGATTGATTTCACTAAGTACTTGAGAGACTTGATAAATGAAAACAATTCCCGCATCTCACAAGCTTTAATTGTTTTGTGCTTGGTCAAGTATTCATCTTCTTCTTCATCAAGCTCTGATTCTTCCAGCAGTTCTTCAGATTCTGAAGATGAGGTAAGGTTTGCTTGTAATTGTTCACAAAGTAATATCTAATTTCTTTGAGGAAACCTGTAAAATATTTGTTAGAAATATTTATGTCCCAGTTTTAATTATTCCTCACTTAGAGAACTGACATAAATGAAATAAATTTAAACATTCGTATATATTTTTTACTCGTTTAAAATTTGTTTGTTTAAAATATCAGTAGAATAAAAAGGTTTGATAAATCTCAAGTGTTAGGTGACTGGATATTAGGAATTACATGTGATTCAATTTTATCTTGGCTTTTTTATAAGGCAGGAAAGTGGCATGATACATTTTGAATATTAAGGAAAAATATTTTTAAGGTGGTCCTTTCATCTGTTCATTTGATATTAGTGAAATGTATAAATTATATTTCTAAAATAGAAAGCAAATGTTTCTAAAATTGTTTTATACAGGATAAGAAGCAAGCAAAAAGGAGAAAGAAAAAGAAGAATCGTTCACATAAATCTTCTGAAAGCTCCATGTCAGAAACTGAATCAGATAGTAAAGTAAGATTATTGAAATTATTAAAATTAACTTTTTTTTTTTTGTGGATCTGGGGTTTGAACTCTGGGCTTTATTCTTGCAGAGCAGATGCTTTACCACTTCCACACCTCCAAACTATTTTTCTCTGGTTATTTTGGAGATGGGACTCTCTCAAACTGTTTGCCTGGGCTGGTCTCAAACCAAAATCCTCCCAATCTTAGCCTCCCAAGTGGGATTACAAGCATGAGCCACCACACCCTACTAAATTATTAACGTTTTTGATAGCAAAAACATTTAATGAAATTTTTCTTTTAGTTATTACCTTAAATTGCTTTCAAGTTAGAAATAAGATGATAAGATGGGTTTTTATACTTGAGGTTTTATGCTCCTTAACTGATGTACCTAATAGTTTCCATGTACCATTTAATAATTCTCCAACTTTCATGGATGTCCCCATGTCTGCAAATTCCATATAATTTCCCCCATTTTCATAAAAAAATTGTAATTCAGAGAAAAAAATTGTGCTTAAATTCATATAGCTAGTTTTAGAATTGGAAATTGAACCAATACCTTTTACTATCTGGTCCAGTATCCTTTCTTCTGTACTGTATCCAAATTTGTTCTATACCAACCAGAATTGTACAATTGGCTCTTAGACTTTAGTGATCATTTTCAAAGGCATGAGGTTTTCTATAAAAATGTTGATTTCAATGGGCAGGGATGGGCCTTGGTGGTAGAGCGCATGCTTTAGCATGAACAAGGCCCTGTGTTCAGGCTTCAAAAAACAGAAAAAGTTGATTCCTTCGCTCCATCCCCAGAGTCTTGATTTCTTAAGTCTGAGCAGGTGCAGAAGTAGTATATATTTTTGATAGGAACCCTATATGATTTTTTTTATACAGAAGTGTCCATAGATCACAATTTGACTAACACTGTATTAGGGTTTCAGGAAACAATTGCAAACAATTTGGATTTTATACAAGGTGTCAACTTGCCCCAGTGAGATTTCTTGTGACAAAATACCTAGCATCTAGAAAGTGCTCAACAAGTGTTGGTTTTCTCTTTGTGTATAGGTATATATTTACTATCTAATTAATTATACAAAGGAGTTTCATTGTGGTATATACATACATGCACATAATGTACTTTGATCAAGTTCATCCCATCACTGTTACTTTTTCTTAACCCTTGTCTCCTCCTCTGTCTTATAAAACAGCAGTCTTGTGATAATGATAGCCAACATTTATTGAGTGCCTACTATGTGTTTGGAACTGTTCTAAGCATTTGACTGTGAATTCATTTGATCCTCTCAACAACCCTATGAGATTTGTTAGTTCACTTTATGGATAAGAAAACTGAAGCTCAGGGAGGTTAACAGTTAGAACTAAGGAATTCAAACTCCACTCTTGAGGAGGAGAGTCAGCAAATCAGATTGCTGGGTGGCTGAGCACAGTGTGAATTAGAATTCAGATGCATGTGGCCATCACAGGAAAAGATGGGCAGTGACAAAGTCCTGTTTTAAAATAAGCCACATGACAGAAAGACAATTATTGTGTGTTTTTGCTCACATGCACAATCTATACCTAAAAATACTCATACTAATGTGACATGATTGGGAAGGTGTATCTTTTACATTTAAAACTAATGTATATACATATATATATTTGTTTATTTAGGATAGTTTAAAAAAGAAAAAGAAGTCAAAGGATGCAACTGAGAAAGAAAAGGTAACTATGGTTTTTGTTTGTTTGTTTGTTTGTTTGTTTTGTGGTACTGGGGTTTGAACTCAGGCTTTTGCACTTGCTAAGCAAGCACTCTACTACTTGACCCCCACCTCCAGCCTGGTAACTGTGTTTTTACATTGCCTTAAAATAATCTGTCTGTGGCTCATGCATGTAATCTTAGCTACTTGGGAGGCTGAGACCAGGGAGGATCCTGGTTTAAGGCCAGCCCAGGCATCTTCAAAATAACCAGACCAAAAATGGAGTGGAGGCATGACTTAAGTGGTAGAGTGCCTATTTTACAAGCACAAAACCTTAAGTTGAAACCCCAGTCCCACCAAAAAAAACAAAGAAAAGATAATCTGTCATATAACATTTAATTGACTTCAAGAAACTAACAATAAATAATTTGGACCTGTTTAAATCCCTTTTACTTTATGGCATTTCATGTTGATATAAGGAAAAACTTAATGTAGATCCTGGTTTAAGGCCAGCCCAGGCATATAGTAGATTCGTTGTTGAAGGTAAAACTCTCTATATGCCTATACTCTATACTGATAAATTATCTTAGATTTAAAATATAACATAATGGCCAGGTGCAGTGTCTTACACCTATAATCCCAGATACTCTCTAGGAGATGAGGAGAATTTGCTGGCCCAGACAAAAACATGAGACCCTATTTAAGAAATGAGTAAAAACAAAAAGGACTGGAGGACTGGAGGACTGGCTCAAGTGGTAGAACTCCTGCCTCATAAGAGCAAGGCCCTCAGTTTAAACTCCAGTACCACAGAAATAATAATAATAGAAATTAAACATTTCCTTCAAGGGTTTGTTTGTTTCTTTCTTTCTTCAAGGGTTTTTTTGTTTTTTAGTTTTTGTTGGGCTTTTTTTTTTCCAGTACTGGGATTTGAACTCAGGGATTTGCATTTGAGTCAGGCGCTTTACCACTTGAACCATGCCTCCAGCTCCACAAGACATTTTAAAGAAGATCCTTTAAATGTAAAAAAATAGAACAAAACAAATAAAAGAAAACCCCAAGGATTTCTGTTTCAAATTGAGTATACCATAGATAAATTTTTAAAATCTTTTGAAGGGCTGGCATAGTGCATTCCACTAGTAGTGTAGGAAAATCCCCTTGTTTCACACAACAAAACTTCATTCTTGCCAGTTTAAGGTATACAGAGCCTCTTCATTTGCTTTTTAGCCATTCAGATTTCATCTTCTGTGCGTTGCCTGCCCATAGTATTTACCTGGGGGTGGAACATAGGGCCTCATGAATACTAGGCAAACACTCTACCCCCAAGCTACACCTTAACTCTTTCTTGTTTTTAGTTTCAAGAGTTAGACATATTGGATACTAATCTTTAGTGCACATGATTGACAACATAAGACACATATCAATCAATGTTTTTAGCCCCATTACTTCAAATTGCTCTAAAGTACTAGGTAATGTAATACCCAGTTAGAAAAGATCATGAGGGAAAATACCCCACTTTATAGTAGGGGCTGGGGGCATGCCACAAGTGGTAGAGCATCTGATGGCACATGCAAGGCCCTGTTCGAGCCCCAATACCTTCAAAAAAAAAAAAAACAAACAATATACGTGTATGCGTGTGTGTGTGTGTGTGTGTGTGTGTGTGTGTGTGTGTGTGTAGAATAGTAACTAAAAATCTATAGGAAAATGTTAAAAGTGAGCAGGACTTATTTGAGGAAACTATTCAAGTCTATTCAGTGACATGTGTATAAGGTAAAGGTGGCATTTCTTTGGACAGAATGACAAAATATTTGGAAATTCTAAAGTTGGACACTCCTTAAGGCCAAATAAATCCCTGATAGATCAAAAATTTAAATGTATAAAGCTATATAGAAAAGTGAGGTGAATATTTTTATAACATTGGTACAGGCTGTGCCTCAAAACTCGCAAACTTTCTACTTTCTAAAATTCTGGAAGGCAAAAAAAAGAGATTATAAAAGTTAAGGTATAAATGAAGTTTAAATATAATGAGCAGACTAAGGAAACTTACAGAGATATGTAAGACAAAATCATAGCCTTTAATAGTAAGGAGGAAGGAATACCATACATACAGAGAAAAACTGAAGAAATACCTAGGCTATTTATTTATTTATTAACAATTTATTTTTATTTTTATTTTATTCATAGGTGCATACAATGTCTGGGTCATTTCTTCCCCCTTCCCTCACCCCCTTCCTCACTCCCCCCACCCCCTCGCTACCCGGCAAAAACTATTTTGCCCTTATCTCTAATTTTGCTGAAGAGAGAGTATAAGCAATAATAGGAAGGACCAAGGGTTTTTACTAGGTGAGATAAGGATAGCTGTACAGGGATTTGACTTGCATTGATTTCCTGTGCATGTGTGTTACCCTCTAGGTTAATTCTTTTTGATCTAACCTTTTCTCTAGCTCCTGGTCCCCTTCTCCTATTGGCCTCAGTTGCTTTAAAGTATCTGCTTTAGTTTCTCTGCATTGAGGGCAAAAAATGCTATCTAGTTTTTTAGGTGTCTTACCTATCCTCATACCTCCCTTGTGTGCTCTCGCTTTTATCATGTGATCAAAGTCCAATCCCCTTGTTGTGTTTGCCCTTGATCTAATGTCCGCATATGAGGGAGAACATAGGATTTTTGGTATTTTGGGCCAGACTAACCACACTCAGAATGATGTTCTCCAATTCTGTCCATTTACCTGCGAATGATAACATTTCATTCTTCTTCATGGCTGCATAAAATTCCATTGTGTATAGATACCAAATTTTCTTGATCCATTCATCAGTAGTGGGGCATCTTGGCTGTTTCCATAACTTGACTATTATGAATAGTGCTGAAATAAACATGTGTGTGCAGGTGCCTCTGGAGTAACCTGTGTCAGAGTCTTTTGGGTATATCCCCAAGAGTGGTATTGCTGTATCATATGGTAGATCAATGTTTAGCTTTTTAAGTAGCCCCCAAGAGTGGTTGTACTAGTTTACATTCCCACCAGCAGTGTAAGAGGGTTCATTTTTCCCCACATCATTGCCAACACCTACTGTTACTGGTGTTGCTAATGATGGCTGTTCTAACAAGGGTGAGGTGAAATCTTAGTGTGGTTTTAATTTGCATTTCCTTTATGGCTAGAGATGGTGAGCATTTTTTCATGTGTTTTTTGGCCATTTGAATTTCTTCTTTGGAGAAAGTTCTGTTTAGTTCACTTGCCCATTTCTTTATTGGCTCATTAGTTTTGGGAGAGAATTTAGTTTTTAATTTCCCATATATTTTGGGTTTCAGTCCCTTTTCCTGATGTGTAGCTGCAAATATTTTCTCCCACTCTGTGGGTGTTCTCTTCAGTTTAGAGACCATTTCTTTTGTTGAGCAGAAGCTTTTTAGTTTATGAAGTCCCATTTATCTATGCTGTCTCTTAGTTGCGTGCTGCTGGGGTTTCAGGGAAAGTTTCTTACCTATACCTACTAACTCCAGAGTATTTCCTACTCTTTTCTGTACCAACTTTAGGTTGGGGTCTGATATTAAGATCCTTGATCCATTTTGAGTTAATCTTGGTATAGGTGATATACATGGATCTAGAGTTTCAGTTTTTTGCAGACTGCTAACCAGTTTTCCCAGCAGTTTTTTGTTGAAGAGGCTGCTATTTCTCCATCGTATATTTTTAGCGCTTTGTCAAAGACAAGTTGTTATAGTTGTGTGGCTTTCATATCTGGGTCTCTATTCTGTTCCACTGGTTTCATGTCTGTTTTTGTGCCAGTACCATGCTGTTTTTATTGTTATTGCTTTGTAATATAGTTTGAAGTCAGGTATTGTGATAACCTCCAGCATTGTTTCTTTTGATGAGTATTGCCTTGGCTATTCGTGCCTCTTGTGTTTCCATATAAATTTACAGTAGATTTTTCAATCTCTTTAATGAATGTCATTGTGAATGTTGATGGGAATTGCATTAAACATATAGATTACTTTTGGAGTATCGACATTTTTACTATGTTGATTCTACCAATCCATGAGCAGGGAGATCTCTCCACTTTCTATAGTCTTCCTCAATCTCTTTCTTCAGAATTTATAGTTTTCCTTGTAGGTCTTCACATTGTTTTGTTAGTTTACACCTAGGTATTTGATTTTTTTGAGGTATTGTAAATGGAATTGGTTTCATACATTCTTTTCAGTTCATTATTAGTGTATAGAAATGCTAATGATTTTTCTAGTTGATTTTATATCCTGCTACCTTGCTTAGCTAGTTGATGGTGTCTAGGAAGCTTTTGAGTAGAGTTTTTTGGGTCTTTAAGGTATAGGATCATATCATCTGCAAAATAGGATATTTTGCAGTTTCTTTACCATTTGTATTCCTTTTATTCCTTCTTCTGGCTTAATTGCTCTGGCTAAGGAATTCCATGCTATGTTAAATAGGAGTGGAGAGATAGTTGGCATCCTTGTTCTAGTTCCTGATTTAGTGAGGAATGGTTTCAGTTTTTCTCTGTTAAGTATAATGCGGCTGTAAGGTTTGTCATATATAGCTTTTATAATGTTGAGGACTTTCTTCGATTCCTAGTTTTCTTAGAGCTTTTATCATGAATGTGTTGGATCTTATCAAAGGCTTTTTCTGCATCTAATTGAGATGATCAAGTGGTTTTTGTCTTTGCTCTGTTTAAATGTGTTTATTACGTTTATTGATTTTCATATGTTGGAACCACCCCTGCATTCCTGGGATGAAGCCTACTTGGTGTGGTGAATGATCTTTTTGATGTGTTGTTGAAATTCGGTGCCATTATTTTTGTTGAGGATTTTTGCATCATGTTCATTAAGGAGATTGGCCTATGTGCTCCTTTTGGGAGTGTCTTTGCCTGGTTTGGATAAGTGTAATACTGGCTTCATAAAATGTGTTAGGCAAGTTTTCCTTCCCTTTCTATTTCGTGGAACAGTTTAAGGAGGGTTGGTATCAGTTCTTTCTTTAAAGGTCTGATAGAATTCAGCAGAGGAATCCATCAGGTCCTGGACTTTTCTTTTTGGGA